GTGATATCACATGCCCTTTTTATGTTTGATCGTGAAAAACTCGTTAGTCTTCCCATTATTATTGAGGTAATTTCAATTATGAGTTTGTATATAAATAATTTTTTTGAGTATATAATGATTTTTTACACTGAATAGGTGGTCATCTATAAAGAAAAATTATCGTGATATACTAGACGAATTGGATACGGTGTGCCCATATTGATATTTTATAGCTAAAATCAGCGCCATATAACTATATGGGAGCTTGCTTTGACCATGAGCATGATGACTTGGTAGATAATGTCAGAGTCTAAGTTGAGATAGTCTTGGTTGATCCCTCCAGCACAGCATGTATGAGGATCTTTGTATACTAGTTTTCATATGTTGTTTTACTTTTACTCTTCCATACACGAACCATACAGTTGCATCCGTTATCACGTTGGACACAGTAGCATACATACTTTTGGTGGTGGATAGGTCGACTTTAGAGTGAACAAAATTACAAATGTTGTAATTCTTAATTGCAATCATCATTTCTTCTTTGGATGGAAACTCCATTACGATATATAACTCACCATCATTGATTGATGAGTTAAAATTCATAGTCACCAACGTTAGGTATATCCACAAATTTTGGCCCGTACATTGCACCATAATCAGCTTCATACATGTGTGATGGAGGTTTTGTGTGTACCATATTTGTGGGAACTTCATCTACATTATCACTATCGGAGTCCATGTTGAATTGCGGTGATTCTGGCTCAACGAATAGTCCAGTCTCAACATCATCCGCATCTGGCTCACGAAGAGGTTATTTTGGTGGAGATGAGGGTTCCTCAGTGATGTCGATATTTAGGTCGAACAAGCTGGTAGTTGGATGTCTTCCCCTTGAACTTAAAGGCATCATGTCGTACGAGTTTTAAACTAAGTGTTGTGTCGTAGGCATCTCTATATTGAGATCAAAGAAGCTCGTAGTTGAATGCCTCCCCTTGGAACTTGTAGGCATTGTGTCAAATGGGTACTGAATAAATTGTTGTGTTAAGGGCATCTCCATATTAAGGTCAAATAAATTGGCAGATGGATGTCTTCCATTTGAACTGTAAGCGATGTTGACATACATATTTTTTGTATAGTCTCCTCGGTGGAGATCGTAACAAGTTGCTGATGAATGTCTCCCCATTGAACTTGATGGGATGATACCAAAATGTGGATTTCTCATTAAAGAGTTAAAATCATTACACATTACTTGAGTTAGGTTGTGAACTTGATCAGCTTGTTGAGTCAGCCCATAGTGTGAGCATAATGACATACCATGAACCACATACACTTCAACAAATGTGGCATACATTTGTGTAACAGCATATGAATTTTTATTCTGAGCATCAACCATCATAGCAACATCATCATCGTTGGAGAGTTCAAACGTTGTATAAGTTAAAGAAAATAGTGTTGTTGGAAATCTGTACTGAAGTAAGGACAATCTTCTAGTACTTCAAATATAAATCTTCCTTGAAATTTTAGTGATCAACTCCTCAAGAGTAATGTTACTTTTGAAGGATATTCTGACTAAATGATTTGATGAGAAGACAACGCCGATTTCATCTTCCCGAATTTATCCATCATAGTAAACAATAGCTAAAATACGCCTCATTTTGAGAGTTTGAAAGATTGATAATCATATATATATATATGCAAAAACAACAACTGAAATACACCTGATTAAATAAATATTATACAAATTAAAATATAAACTAATGCTAAAAAAATAAAAAATTTCACAATAATTTAAATAACATAAGTTAATATTGTTACCGTATCGATAAAATGTCTCGAGATATAATCACATCTTCCATTTCACAACCATAAAAAATAATATAAAATAATTAGTACAATAAAATTTGATAAAATAATTAAATAAAAAAATATAATATAATAAAAAAAAATTATCTTCTAAAATCTATAACAAAATATACTTAGTATGATAAAGGAATAATCTGAAAGTAATTTTGGTGTAGTTTGATATTTGCATTCGGTAGTATTTATAGGGGAAGGGGATGGGTGAATAACCGAGAGAGTTAAAGCCCATGTAATAATGGAGTGCTCAATAATTCAAAGTGAATAATGAAAGACACACTTTATGATCCGTGCCTTTGTTATGTGGTGGCAACTATGACAAAAACCCGTGAAGACGCGCTTTATGATCCGTGCTTTTCCATCGTGACGTCAATTCGGACAAAACTTTATGAATGCGCGCCTCATGATGCTTGCTTTGTAAAAAATATTGTGTTAGATCGATAATATTTGTAGAAAATGTGCAAGTAATATTTTGTTGTTATGGTGTTATTTGAGTAAAATTGCCGCGTTTTTGATGGCATATCTTTAATTTCATAACATGCTATTTTAGCGAGCTTTCTAACACTAACGTCGCTTAATATAAAAAAGTGAAATAAAGAATAATGTGTCAATGCTAATAATTCGATAAAATTTATTGAATTTGTAATAGTTAAATAAAACTTAATTTAAATTTTATAGCCGTTAAAGAATTTAATAGTTATTTTAAAATTTTGATTAAAATGATTATTTATATGTGAATTAATAACTTATAATGTAATTTACCCTGTAAATTAAGAGTTGATTTAGAGATGGGTCGGGTCAGATACTGAGTTTTTCATTTACATGAATCTGACCTGAGTATTATATTATTTATTTGTCATACAACTCGAAATTCTAACTGATTTTTAATGTAGAAATCTATACCCGCACCTAGCATGCATATATATATTATTTTATTTTTTTAACAATGATAACTAAATTTTATTAATAATAGAATGAATCAAAATTAAAACGCATCATAAAAAAGAGAAAAAATTAAAGACAATAGTCACCAAAATACTCATACAAAAGTAAATAATAAACTTAAAAATACAAAGAAAATTAAAACATTCTAAATATCAATATCAAAACCCAATAACATTCGTACAAACTTATTGTTTATGTTGAATAAGACGCTTGATGAAGTAATAAAGGAGTGGAGAGCAGATCAAATAATTTGGTAGGATACTCCGCTATATAATTATGACTACATTGGCAAACAACCTTTTATCAAAAGAGGAATATGATTATACGTGACCACCAACTAATCAATCAGGAAATAAATATCGTGATGATTTTTGTAAGAGAACCAAAATGACCGCAAAAATATGCGAAAAAATATAAAAACCCATCAGAATCGTGCCATAAGAACATATGACATTTTTTTATTTGATAAATAGAAATCTAATTTTGTGTGTGTATATATATATATATATACACCTTATTTTAAATAGAGAAAATAACCTCAGTGACCAAAAATGTCTTATAATATACGATTTTAACTAACTTTTTTTGGATTTGCCAAAATGACCAACTAAATCGTAATGCGGTCGATAATTCGTAACGCGATCTCCGGTATCGCAAATCAGTTTCCAGATTCGCAACGCGAACTTCGACTATCGCAACGCGAACTTGGACTATCGCAATGCGATTTATTCCAAATTCGTTGCGATAGTCGAAGTTCGCGTTGCGATTTATTCCAAATTCGTTGCGATAGTCCAAAATCGCAACGACTGGTGGTATTGCATTTGTTTCTTAAGAATTTTCTCTAAAAAAATAGTATTCGCGCGGACATGTCGAAGAGACGTATTACCACGACCACGAGACGAGACGGCGGCGGCGGCGGCGCGCGAGAGTCCCCCTTGTTCTCTATCACTCAACAAAGAAGTAGGAAAGCCAAGCCTTAAATACTATTCTCAATAGTGTTTCCAATACTATGTGGGATTGAGCATTATCAACACTTGTTTCCAATACAATGTGATTATTCAGGAAACAATTAACAATCATGCACCTTAAAACAACTGAATCAGCAACCAATTGCATTAGTATTATACGATTAAATATGTCATAATTAAAAGTCAATCTACAATCAATCGCGATTATTGCAATTTTAAGCAAAACATTCAAAAATAATATCACTATTTAAGGCTCAATCCCCCATAGTATTGGGAACAAGTGTTGGTAATGCTCAATCCCACATAGTATTGGAAACACTATTGAGAATGGTATTTAAGGCTTGGCTTTCTCACTTCCTTATTGAGTGATAGAGAACAAGGGGGACTCTCGCGCGCCGCCGCCGTCTCGTCTCGGGTCGTGGTCGTGGTCGTGGTCGTGGTAATACATGTCTTCGACACGTCCGCGCGAATACTATATTTTTAGAGAAAATTCTTAAGAAACAAATGCAATACCACCAGTCGTTGCGATTTTGGACTATCGCAAGGAATTTGGAATAAATCTCAACGCGAACTTCGACTATCGCAACGAACTTGGAATAAATCGCAACGCGAACTTGGAATAAATCGCAACGCGAACTTCGACTATCACAACGAATTTGGAATAAATCGCAACGCGAACTTCGACTATCGCAACGAACTTGGAATAAATCGCAACGCGAACTTGGACTATCGCAACGAACTTGGAATAAATCGCAACGCGAACTTGGACTATCGCAACGAATTTGGAAAATCGCAATGCGAACTTCGGCTATCGTAACGCGAACTTGGACTATCGTAATGCGAATATGTAAATCGCAATGCGATAGTCGAAGTTCGCGTTGCGAATCTGGAAACTGATTTGCGATACCAGAGATCGCGTTGCGAATTATCGATCGCATTGCGATTTAGTTGGTCATTTTAGCAAATTTAAAAAAAATTGGTTAAAATCGTATATTATAAGACATTTTTGGTGACTGAGGTTATTTTCTCTTTTAAATATAGATATATTTAGTGAATATTTTAACTAAATAAAAATGTTAAAATGTAGGGATTTTATGTCATTTCAGCGTTAATCTAAATTAGAAGAGATTTTTAAAACGGGAAACGAATGTGAGGCAAGAGAATAAATAACCAAAGCAAGAAATTAGCACGTCCCTCGTTTTTCGTTACACTCGTAAGACCTTAGCTTGGGATAACCATTTGGCATTTACAAATTTAAACTCTTCGGTTTACGCCTTCCCATCCTTTGAAACCAACCGCACATTGAATCCGATGGCGGAGCTCATCGAGTCGAAGATGGAGGAGATCGCCGATAAGATCTCCGACAAGATCCACCGCAAGTCCTCCTCCTCCTCATCGTCCTCCGATTCCGACGACGACAAGCGCTCTCATGGCCACAAACTCCCTTTCAAGTCCAAGGTTTATCGCCTCTTCGGCAGAGAGAAGCCTCTTCACCAAGTCTTAGGCGCCGGAAAACGTAAAACTATTTCATTTGATTTATCGTTTATATGTGTATATAGATTATGCGAATTTCATTTTTATTAAATCGGCTATATAGCATGCTATGTTTTATTAATTGATTACATAATCTAATATTTAAATCAAAGAATTACTATTCCGAAGATTCTTCACCAAGTCTTAGGCTCCGGAAAACGTAAAACTATTCCGTATGATTATCGTTTATATGTATATATTTGGATTATGCGAATTCATTTTATTTATTTTTTGACGATGTTTAGTTTATCAAATAAGCATCAGTTACTCGCTTTCTAAAAAATGCTTTGTTTTACCAATTGATTTCTTAATTTGATATTTAAATCAAAGAATTACTATTCAGAATCCTGCTTGCTATCTCTCTCTTGATCGAGTCCAGATATGAAATCTTTCAAATTCACGATTTCAATGCTATTGCCTTCATTCTCATGCATTTTTTTCCTGTTTATGTAATTTGTTAGTCGAATGCTTATGTAATTTATTTCGGTTAGATCCATGCTAGTTTTTCAGAATTCTGCTTCGTTCTTTTGTTTGATTTCAGTTACGAAAGTGAGGATTTCAACGTAGTCGCTTTCATTTTGATGTATTATTTTGAGAAATTTGAGAGTTGTGAATGATATTATGAGTAGATGAATCTTGTGACATTACTCAATTAAAGCCTTGGTTATTATTTTTCTATGATTTGCTATCGTCTTTTATGTTCATTCAATGTTGATTTTCAGCTGCTGATATTCTTTTGTGGAGGAACAAGAGAGTTTCTGGAGCCGTGCTTGGTGGCGTAACAACTTTCTGGTTTCTCTTTGAAGTTCTTGATTACCATTTGATCACTCTGGTTTGCCACATACTGATACTCTCTTTATCAGTACTTTTCCTATGGTCCAATGCCTCACATTTCATCAACAAGTAAGGCTCTTCAATCATTCTTCTTTTGTTCCTTATATGATCGTGTGATCAAAATCTTAATTGCAACTTTATCAACTTTGTTCATTCCAAGTTCCCCACCAACCATTCCAGAAGTTGTGATCTCTGAGAAGTGTCTCCTTAAAGCTGCATCTTGTTTATCGACTGAAATTAACCTAGCTGTGAATGTTGTGCGGACCATTGCAACCGGCAAAGATTTGAAGACGTTTCTCGGTGTAAGTTAACGTTAATGTCCCTCCTTGCTTTCTTCTAGTTAACTATTATATTGTGAAAAATAATAAAGAAAAATAGTTCTCTAGCACGGATTTGGTTACAGTCCGTGTCACTTGAACTCTTCATTTCTTATAAAATGATATTTTTCAATACATATTTAAATATGAATAATATATTATGATTCTTCAGAAATATGAAACTAGCAGTGGTGTATCTAGAAATTAAAAAATGGGATCCAAAATTTTATTGTTCTATTCTAAAAGTTTTGGGTATGCAAATTTTCGTCTTTTTTTTTTCTATTTTCATTAACAAATTAAATTAGATTTAACACTTTTCTCGAAATAATGAGTGTGCAGTGGACATATATCAGCCCCTGGAAACTAGAATGTATAAAACATGCTCATGTTGGATATATACCTATACCCACACTCACTTTGAATCCAACTTGTGCTATGTCTTCAAAGTCGCTAGGTATTTTGCTTAGCCGTTATGTTTGTGTAGGCTATTGCTTAAAAACCAAGGGATGGAGTAACTTGTAGTCTTTGAATTTGGTATTTTTTTTTAACTTGATCCTTAAACTTTACTTTGTTCCATATTTTTCGGTTCAATGACATGATATTTTCATGTTGTGTCATGTGTAACGATATTAGAGTGTCGTGTCATCAAAAGGACTAAAAATAAGAAAACAATCAAATTCAAGGGTTAATGTGAAAAAAATTAATATCTTGTTTTGCTGCTCTAGGCCGTTGCTGGATTATGGTTCATCTCAGTTCTGGGGAGCTGTTTCAACTTCTTGACATTGGTCTACATCGGTAAGGAATTCGATTTTGTTCTTCTTTTTCCAGCACTTCAAATACATCTGGATTTATTGAAGAATTGTATAACACAGTGGTTCTTCTGCTATACACCGTGCCGGTGTTGTACGAGAAATACGAGGACGAGGTGGATGCACATGCTGAGAAGGCAATACTTGAGATCAAGAAGCAGTATGTAATTTTAGAGAAGAAGGTTATGGCTAATATAAATAAAGGCAAGAAAAGAGATTAGACATTTTCTTTTTGCTGAAATCATTTTTTTATATTTATTTCTTGCGACTGATCATCATCTTTGAGTCTCTCGGTTCCAACTTTTATGTTTAGTTGCAGATGTACTCATTGAATATGGTTTCCAAAGGATGTTAGTTATAGATGATTTGGTGTTTTGTATGCATGTATGTACATAGCTACATACATATGTGTGTATATATATATATATTAATAAGTTTTACAATATATGTACTACTGTCATTACTCTAAAGAGAAAATCAATTTATTTTACAGAACATCCAAAACCGTTTTCTTTCTCTTGTGGTTGTTGAATATAAAAAAAGGGTAAACTATGACTGTAGTCTTTTTTGTTTTCGGTTTTATTTTCGGTCTGATTGACTTTGGTCATCGATTTTTTAATTAAGTGCATTTAGTCCCTTACGTTATCGGTCCGTCCGGTTCAAATATCTCGACCGTTAATTTTCGTCAACTTATTAACAGAAGTCTGAGTTGGGAATTAAAAAAAAACCCACGTGAGTGAGATAGCATGTGAAGTGTCTTCTTCTTCTTCTTCTTCACCGCCGTTAACTTCAGGTCTCCCTCGACTCCGCCGCCGCTTTCTTCGACGGCCTCCCCTCACACACCTCTTCCTCTGGAGCCAAATCTTGAAATAATTCCTTGTTCTAAAAAATAAACCAAAAGGTAGACACTAGTTTATAGCAAAGAAGACGAACTATTCTGAGGTATTTATCTTACTTTTAAGACCTTTATAAATGCCACTGAACCAATATATTTTATTTTCAAATATGATGAATTCACTTCAATCACAATAAAGGACGAGTATTTCAACCTCAACATTCAAAAATCATCAAGAAGATGATGCATACGTGGCTTAATGAAAAGCAAAATGATTTAAAATGAAACGAAAGCCCTTGCATTAGGAAAATGACATGCATCACATGAAAAGAGGAGAAAATGCAATCTTCAGTTTCCGACCCCATTTTTATCCTTAAGAAAATAGACAAGAAGAGGTTACTCTTAAAAGTTAAAAAGAGCCAAATACAAATACAAGTATTGGTCTCCTTCAGGGCCGCTATGCATTTAAGGAGTTTCAACATAAAAATGACACTAGAGGACAAGATCCAAAAGGCTTAATACAAATAAATAACTCGTTTGGGGATGATTCTGATCAAATATTACATGTAAAGCAAGAGTACTCGTAAAAGTTGATACCATGGGACTTGCAAGACAAGGAGAAGATTAATGAGAAGATTCTAACATTTTCAACACTATGGATGGAACACATTTAACGCATTCTTAATCCTACGTGCATCTAATACTTGATGCCACACGGGAAAAGGAGTAGATTCTAAAATTTCCAAGGTTCCACGTCCAACATATTTAACACATTCTACCATCTTCCAATTGAACTCTGTCTTCTAATAGTAACTATTCTAAAGAAAGTCTTTTCTCCAAGGCTAGCTTTATCATGCTTTAACAGTCTTCATCTCCCAGAGTCCAAAAACTCACATTATCAGATCCGTCATACCCGTTTCATGAATTCCATTCTCTCGGCCTCACGGGAAAGTAAACATATATAAACTCAGAATTCGAAAAAAAAAAAAGGAAACGTAGCAAGTTCTTAGGAATTAGCATCTGAAGTGCAATCTAGATATATTGCTATTTCCATCTCTATGAACTTAAACATAAAAACGGCACTTTTGCATGCAGAATTGAAATGGTCTTGTGGGCATATATATATATATATATAGAGAGAGAGAGAGAGAGCTTACACGTGAAATGGTTATGTGTGGTTTAATGTGAAGAAGAAGAAGAAGAAGAAGAGACACGTGGAGGGTGACGGCGGATGGCTGTCGGCGACGCCTAATGCCGGCGCTGAGTCGGACGGCCACCGGGATCTTAGAGCTTCTCTTGAGACAAATGGAGCAAGATTTGCTTGAGAGAGAATGAAAGAATGAAAAAGTGAAGAAGAAAAATATACAGAAAGAAGAAGAGTTGACGCGGGACATGGATTTTTTTAAAATATTTTGTTTGTCATGTAATACTTATGTTTAATGGTTAATGGGAATTAACAGCGAAAGGATTTAAATCAAACGAATTGATAATATAAGGGATTAAATGTATTTAATTAAAAAATCGGTGGCTAAAATCGATTAAACCGAAAATAAAGTGAAAGGAAAGTGATTAGGAACCAACTAGTCCCTACTGTTTATGAGGACGATAAACAAGGCGTTTTTCTCGAAAAATCATCGGTGACCGGTATATTTACCGATCTAACACTAGTACTATATTTCTTGATCTAACAGCCTTAGCAGTAAAGCGCGCCCTCTGCACCGCGCTATATGCTGATTTGGCACCATATAAGGTAAGGCGTCCCCTGAAGCACGCTTTATGTTGATATGAATACACGAGCGCAGCCCTGGGACGCGCCTTACCTTTATTAGGTTTTTTTCCCATTCTAACAATGCAGCCGCAACATTAATGTGAAACTCAGTCATTACTCACTTATCAAAGTGTTTTTTTTAATAAATAAATAGAAAATCCATACCATGAACGAGATTAAAAACGCTTCCATTGGGTTGATAATCATAGATCACAAGCCTTTCTCCTTTGGCTTGAAAACAAGTTGGGGATCCGACCGGAGAGGGAGTTGTTGTGGAGACTAAGGAGCCGAAGCTGGTCGAGCCGGGAGAGGGAGTTGGCGGGAAAAACACCACGTAAGCTGGAATTTTGAAGGTTATAGTGAACGACACGACCTTAGGCACATTTGACGCCGCGCCATTGGCAGCAGTCGAAGCACTTGTTGAGTGCGTAAAGCAGCTTGTTGTCGAGGTCGGCCTTGGATTTGAATGAGAGGATGGAAACGGCGTCGGAGGGGAACAACAAGTTGGTTTGCGAAGAGTAAGTTATAGGCCTAGAAAAACAGGTTAAAAATTCCCAGAAGAAGATGAAGAGATAAAGCAAAGATTTGAACTTTGTTTTTGGCATTTTTTCTTTTGTTTAAAAGATTGAAGCTTTTGATAAGCATGAATTTGTTTTAATTGTTTCGGAAAGATAGTGAGTGAAAGACTCACGTGACTGACACAAAACACCATTCCACTCACCAGCGCGTGACTCATATCACTTCATTTATTTTTTCCTTTTTAGTTTTAAATTAATTTAGTTAACTCCTTTTATATACATTATTATATATAATTTTGCACGTATAACGTAACATTAAGCTGAGTGCGGGAAAAAGACCCAAAAAAGGCAAGGCACGTCCCAGGGGTCGCGTTATACCCACGTGTATCCATATAAGCATAAGGTGCGTTTTAGGGGGTGCGTCTTACCCCACGTAGCGCCAAATCAACATAAAAAGCAATGCAGGGGGTACGCTTTCCTGCTAAGGGTGTTAGATCGAAAAATATAATCTGACTGTTACCTGATCGAGAAATATACTGTTGAACGGTGATTTTTCGGGAAAATCACCGATAAGCAATGGGAGAGAACTTTCAAACATTAATGAAGCAGTTCAATTTAAGAAAAAAATGTTTAAAAAAAATTAATACTTAAAAACTAAGAGTAAAATATATATTTAGTACTTAAACTATTAATTTTAGTCTATTTTAGTACTTAAACTTTAATTTTTTTCAAAATAATACCTAAAATTTAGTTTTTGTTTTATTTTAGTACACATATTCAAAATTTAACGTTAATTTTTGAAAAAAGTTGAAAGTTTAGGTACTAAAATGGACAAAAACTAATAGCTTATGTATTAAAATAGATCAAATTTAATAGTTAAAGTACTAAAATAAAACAAAAACTAAATATTAATTATGATTTTAAAAAAATTAAAAAATTAAATATTAAAATAAATCAAAACTAATAATTTAACTACTAACTATATAATTTACCCAGAAAATAACCTTAGCCCCACGAAGTTCCACCTTGATAGTCACAATTAAGTCACGTTATTTCTCCTCTCGACTATAATCACTTTATGATAATATACAATAGTGGATCTATAAATATTTTGGACAAAGATCATATATATATATATATATATTAATATAAATTTTTTATATGAGATAAGTACAACTAAAATTTTAAAATAGATATTAATAATAAAGTGAATAATTAATATAAAATAATTTAAATTCTAAGATGAAGACGTGCCAATCTTGATCTAGCCATACATCCGCCACTAATAATATAAATTAATTACATAAGATGTTCCAAATTCTGAATACGTTCTAACTTAGTATATAAACTCTAAAATATTTTATATCAATTGTCAAATTTTGATCTCATTCTAAATTAATCCTTAAACTTCAAAACATTATATATCAATCCTCAAAGTATTAATATCATTTTATTTTAATAATTTTGTTAAGTATCATCGATTTTATTAGTTAAAACATTTAATATATTTTTAAAAAACCTGAAAATTTTAACGTCATTCTAAATTGATCATTAAATTTTCTTCAATAATATTAACATATAGAGAAATATAAAATTTATAAATTCACACAATCGGATAAGACCTACCTCTCATCCATCCAAAAAGTCAAGAACTGGTTTTTAAACGCAATCAATCATTCATTGCCGCGGAAAAGAATAGAAAAAGAGAAAACAAAAGGAAGTGAAAAGTACAGATTCATGTAAGCTGCAGCCGCAACAATATCAAAGGTCTGAATAGAGCTTCGAGTTAGGTGTCAATGGCCTTTCGCCCTCTCGGTTGCTCCCATCCTGGACCGCGTAAACCACAAGCGTATCGACACGTGCCATGGCGTCCGGCTCCATCAGCAGCCGTCCATTTCGATGGCAAACATTTTTCAAAGTTTTAGCTCACCAAACTCTGCACTTGTGTGTCCATACGATGGGTTCTTTTCGTCCTCTTTCATCGTGGCCATGCAACTGATATAAAAGATGGCTCATCATCAGTTCGAGTCTCTTGATTATTGGACTGTGTATTCCATGGCTGATAGCTTTTCTCGTAGTGCTCCGGTGTTGTTTTGGTTGGTTCTGTTTGGATTCTCCGGCTGCATTGCCGGCCAAATCGGTTTGGGCTCGAGGTTGGTGGGCAGTCAGCAGGGACGAGGTTGGGTTTCCGATAATGGAACTTTTGCTTTTGGTTTCACCCCGTCGGACATTCGTTACCGTTTTCTGCTCGGGATTTGGTTCGCTGAGCTTCCCGGAGATAGAACCTTAGTCTGGTCGGCTAATAGGTACGTTTTGCATTATACTTTCCTTTATGGGTTAATTGTACCACATATCCCGTAACTATTGTAAGATTCTAAAATGATCCTAAACTTTGAAACATCCTCCAATTATTATATTGTATCAGCTAAATTCTTTTATTAGTTTACTTATCGGATTGACGTTGAATTATCGGTTAAAGTTGACGAGAAGTATATTTAAAATATACATTTGAAATATAAAAAATTTGTATATATACAAGGTATCTGATAAATTAATTGATTAATTCGGATTATATACTATTGTAGATTTCGTTCGTAGAGATACTCCAAATTAGTTTCTTTGTTCATAATATTGTGATTCACACATCCAATTTTGCATAAGAAATCTAATATCAGGGATATTTATTGACAAGTGTAGCATGTAATCCAATTAATAATTAGCGAAGAGACTAATATTTTAAAGTTTTAATTAACACATCTTACGGTAGGATATGAGTAGTTTAGACATTGGTTTTAGAAAAAAAAAATTAAAACCTTTTGAAGATCATTAGAGACTAATTTAGAATTTGGATTATAGTTTAAGGACGTCGGTCTAATTAACCCTTATTTAGTAAGTCTAGTTTTGAATCTGAAGTATGGAATATACTTACCGGATGGTTAATGGTTTTTTAGGCTTAAATATAAAACAAATGCCTAAATTCTACCCTTTTTTCAAATTTGTGTTTAAATTATTTTTGAATCATTTAGGTGCGAAAATTTTACAAATGTTATTGTTTTATGTGTCTCGATTCTAGTTACCGTTAAAAAATCCGTTAAGTGATATGTGTCATAATTTGATAATTTTAGAAATTTATTTTAAAAAAATTAAAAAATATTTTATTTTTGAAAAAGCCCTAATTCTTTTTTAAAATACCAAAAAAATCTCAAACTGCCTAAACCTCTTATTTTAATCCTCTTTACTCGAACCATCAGTCATCTTCGACCACCCACTTATCGGTCACAACCCTTATTATCATCTGAAAACCTAAATTTCTTAAATCTCTACATTTCAATTCTTAATCCCTAAAATTCTAAATATTCAATCCCTTAAATTTCTTTGATAGATCATGGTAATCGACCGTTTAGCCGATTATTATAGCTGGCCATTTGGCCCTTGGTCCTTGGCCGTTGGACATGGAGGGAAGCATGGAAAAACAGGGGAGGATGAGGGGTGAGACGGTTTGGAGAAAGGATTTTTTTCTGAATAATATTTAAAAAAAAAAATAAAAATATCAAAATTTTAAGATTGTGATACATGTCATTTGATGAGGTTTTATAATAGTTTTATAATAGTTGTTACGATCGAGACATTTAAAATAATAATGTTTACTTAAATGATTTAAAAAATAATTTAAAATCAAGACAATTTATATTTGATTTTTTCTTATATAAAAAAAGTCATTTCTCCATCTGTAGTCATTATTACACTTTTAAGCCAACATTTCTTTTTCGATCATCAAAACTAGAAACTCTCTGGTCACCAAAGATGCAATCCTGGAGCTTGACACAACTGGAAATCTCGTACTGATGGACGGGGACGACACCGTTTGGACGTCAAACACATCGGGAAGCCGAGTCGAGTTCGCCGTCATGTCGGAATCCGGGAATTTCATCCTTTACACGGCCAACAACCGCCCTGCGTGGCAGAGTTTTGCGCATCCGTCGGATACACTTCTCCCTAACCAACCCTTCACAGTGTCACTCGAATTAACATCATCGAAATCGGTCCTCCATGGCAGCTACTATGCTCTCAAGATGCTCCAACAGCCTACTTCATTAACACTTGCCTTAACGTACAACTTGCCCGATACATTTGATCATTCCCCTGAAGGTTATACGAACTACTCCTATTGGGCTTCACCCGACGTATCGAATGTTACTGGCGATGTCGTTGCGGTTTTAGACGAAGCGGGAAGCTTCGGAATAGTCTATGGCCAGTCGTCGAACGGTGCGATTTATGTGTATAAGAATGATGGAGACTATGATGGCTTATCTTCAGCTACTAATAAATCGAATGTCCGATTAGCGGTGCTTCGGAGATTGATCATCGAGACTAATGGCAATCTACGTTTGTATCGATGGGATAACGATGTTAATGGTTCGCGCCAATGGGTACCTGAATGGGCAGCTGTGTCGAACCCCTGTGACATTGCTGGTATATGCGGCAATGGGGTATGTAACTTGGATAGAAGCAAGACAAATGCTTCTTGTACATGCTTACCCGGTACTTCCAAGGTAAGCGGTCCAGCTGGTGGAACGTTTTGCTCGTTGAACTCATCGACGACCGTAAAATGTGATTATCGGAACAGAAATCGGACCTCAGACTTCAAGATTGCAACAATACAACAAACCAACTACTATTTCTCGTATTATTCAGTGTTGGCTAATTACAGTGATATTCCCACGGTCTCGAAGTGTGGGGATGCTTGTTTATCGGATTGCGACTGCGTCGCATCGGTTTACGGGTTGGACGATGAGAAGCCATACTGCTGGGTTCTGAAGAGCTTGGACTATGGAGGATTTGAGGACCCTGGTTCGACCATGTTTGTGAAGGTCAGGTCTAATGTGTCTTTGGGTCCAGGTGGTGATAGGTCCGGGTCTGGTTCTAGTCATGACAAGATTTTGGTGCTTCCAATTGTACTAAGCATGGGTGTCCTTATTGGCCTACTTTGTCTACTGTTGTATTACAATGTTCACAGAAGGAGATATTTAAAGAGATCCATGGAAAGCTCTTTGATCTTTGAAGGGGCACCGTTGAATTTTGGCTACCGAGATTTGCAGCTCCGTACCGACAATTTTTCTCAGCTGCTCGGAACAGGTAAAGACATATACATATACTGCAGAATCAAAGTGTTTCATTTACGCACTTGGAATTGATATGATCATTTGCAGGAGGATTTGGAAGTGTATACAAGGGAAGCCTTTCGGATGGAACATTGATTGCTGTCAAGAAACTCGACCGTGTTTTCCCGCACGGCGAGAAGGAGTTCATAACCGAAGTGAACACAATTGGCTCCATGCATCACATGAACTTGGTTCGCCTATGCGGATACTGCTCAGAGGGTTCACATCGGTAACGAATCCAAATTACTCATCGTTCTCTGTTCACTTTGTTTTCTAAAATGACTTCTTCAAATGACCAGTCTATATGTTTTTTTTGCCAGTCTTCTGGTGTATGAGTTTATGAAAAATGGATCCCTGGACAAGTGGATCTTCCCTTCCTATCAGTGCCGGGATAGGATGTTGTATTGGCCGATTCGGTTCGATATCATCATTGCGATCGCACGAGGGATTGCGTACTTTCACGAGCAATGCAGAAACAGGATAATACACTGCGACATCAAGCCGGAAAATATCCTCTTGGACGAGAATTTTTGCCCCAAAGTATCCGATTTCGGACTAGCCAAGTTGATGGGAAGAGAGCACTCGCGTGTTGTCACTATGGTAAGAGGAACTAGAGGGTATTTAGCACCCGAATGGGTTAGCAACCGTCCGATAACCGTAAAGGTCGATGTTTACAGTTACGGAATGCTACTTTTGGAGATTCTTGGTGGCCGAAGAAACCTCGACATGTCTTACGATGCCGAGGACTTCTTCTACCCCGGATGGGCCTATAAGGTATACTCTGTACTCATTAGTCTTAATGATCCATCCTCCATATAGCACACAAAAAATTGTATCATACTTAATCGTACTTAGCAATGGTATGTGCAGGAGATGACAAACGGAACGCCAATGAAAGTCACGGATAAACGACTAGGGAGTGCTGTTGACGAGGAACAACTGACCAGAGCGTTGAAAGTCGCCTTCTGGTGCATTCAAGACGAGGTCATCGTGAGGCCTTCGATGGGGGAAGTGGTGAAAATGCTCGAAGGGTCAATGGATATCAACGCACCGCCCATGCCTCAAACGGTATTGGAACTGGTCGAGGAAGGCTTGGAACAGGTGTACAAGGCAATGAAAAGGGATTTCAATCAGTCAAGCTCGTTTACCATGACTACACATCCATCATCTCTGGCTACATGCAGTTATTCAACAATGTCCCCCAGATGATCTATAAGATCAAAAACCTAGCGTTGCGGCCGTACGTTAATACTATTACGTCACCGGGACACGGTTTGCATCATCACAGCACCACGTTTCATGTGTTCTTTCCTCGTTGACAATCTACAAACATTTCCTTTTCTCACATGGTTCTTAGTCTTCGCCATTATTTTCCCAGAAAGAAACCCGTGAAAAAAACAACACGTACAAAAGTCAAAAAGGAGTACTACAAATATAGACTGATAATTTACTTTATGCACACACAAAAAAAAAAACAAAAAAAAAAACGCCGGTTTCCATTAAAATCCATCTTCCTGGAATCGGCACTCGAAGGTCACAACTCACACGGAAACCAAAGAAAACGCGCTTACATTATCTATATAAATTCTCGTTGCGTTTACGTTATCATCAAGCACCGCCACTACTATTCACCATGGCTGAGCTCACAGCCGAGAAACAAAACAGAAACATGCAGCTCTACGAGAAGAAGACGCGGCTGTTAACGGTTGCTTACCTCGTATTCCAAGCCGTAGCTTTGGTTTCAATAACCAAACAAGCTTGTTCACCCGGCGGTCAATGCCCGAACCTGGTTTGGTTGCCCTTCGTTTTGTCCATGTTGTCGTCTTTGATCTACTTTCTGGCGTTGTCGGATATTCTGTCGAGTTTCTTCTGGGCTCGGTATCAGCTGGAGTTGAGTTTCATGGAGCAGGGAACTGCATGCGAATAAAGCAAGATGATGACGAGGTTTCAGGTTTAAACTGTTAAAGCCAGAAATTTGCATGTATAAGCATATGATAAAAAAGGTTTTCATAAAGAATGAATAATAATAAACTGTGTGAAATTCTGATGCATTGATTTGAATAATTTAATGCACCGTTAGTACAGAATTTACTTATCAATGATAAGTGATTTTTGTGATAAAGGATAGGTTAAAAGATTAAAGTTAAGTATTGTATGTGTAAAAGTATGAATGTTTATTATCAAATTAAGTGTGTTCAAAGATATAATATATTGTATTTATCTCATATTTATATACAAAAAAGTACACTATATTTATAAATATGAATTACTAATTAAATTTCTGGGTAAATTATGAATTTAGTACCTAAATTATCAGTTTTAGTTTGTTTTAGTACCTAAACTTTTAATTTTTTTTAAAATCATACATATAGTTTAGTTTTTGTTTGATTTTAGTACTCATGTTCAAAATTTAACATTAAGTTTTTTAAAATGAAAGTTTAAGTACTAAAACGGATCAAAACTGATAGTTTAGGTACAAACACGTTAAGCTTTCAACGACGAGGTATTCAAATGAAACAAAAACTAAACGTTAGGCATAATTTTGAAAAAATTGAAAGTTAGGTACTAAAACAGATCAAATCTGATAGTTTAGGTACTAAATACATAGTTTACCCTAAATTTTTTAATAGTCTGAATGAATACTAGGTAATATTTGTTTAATTTTTTAAACCTATTGATAACGCACATATTTTGCTAAGATCGCTATTCGAATCCATAAAATCTAGAGAGATTAATATTCTCTTATACCACCGAAATCAATTTAATAAGAAAATTATATATGATAATATGAGTGGATAATTAGTAAAAGAAGAAAAGGGTAATATTATTTTTTTAACCCTTGAACTTGATAAAATTTTCTAATTTAATTTTTTAATTTTTGTTGAAACTAAGAATATTGAATGTTGGTAATAAAGTGATTAACCATCTCATCGTGAATTTAAACGACTGATCATAAATTATATTTCATTCATAAGTGAAAATTGGATCTCAGTTACATAATTAAAGGATGAGGTGAGCAGCCACCACATTATATTACACCGTATAGTTTTCGAGATTATTGTTTACATTAATTCTTAATTCCGATAATTTTTCGTAATTTTAATTTTTTTTCTCTAAATATAATACTCTGATTCATAAAAAAAATGACCAAATTAAAATTTTAGTAAAGTTTAAGAACTAAAAGTTAATTTATCCCGAATAAAAATTAGCAGTAGCTACTGAAACTCGAGTCTGTAATACTTTATCCGATAAAGAGGCTTCCAGCAATTATTCAAAAACAAAAGTGCATAAAAATTACTATATATATATATATATATTGAAAGCACCAAAGCTCTTAGCAAATTCCATCGAAGAATCCAAAGATTCTTTTTCTTCAAGCAAGATTCAAGATTGAAGCCCCCAATCCATACGTTTTGTTTCCTTTTACGTTCGATTGCCCTGTAATTCTGTAAGGTACAATCTCTGTCAAATTATCGTAATTTTGTACATATTTAGAATGACAATTACACCAAACCCTAGACCAAATTCTTCACATTCTTGATTCGGTTAATGTTTTACTTTCATAATTTGTTTTGAATCATAGTTTGATTAATATTTGGTTGATCCAAGAATTCACCTAGTTAGCAGTGCTCAAGGTTTTCTTTGTTTCTGTAGATTGTATCAGATGGAGAATATGCAACAGGCGGAGGAGCTTGTGAGGGGATATTTGGTCTTCAGAGGATTTACGAATACATTAAAATCTTTTGAGACTGAGTTGTGTACGGATATTGGTAAAAGCTTTCAAGTGAACAAGGTATTAGACTTGATTTTCGCGGTTTATATTCCTAAATTCCACGCCGAGAAATTAGTTGGTCTGTTTAGGTTCTTCAAGCAATGCTTTTCGTCATGGTCTGAGACCACGATGCTTGAAACCTTGTCGAAATTGGAGTGCTCTGTTCTTCGGTGTTACATTGTTAATGCATTGCAATCTGGGAGGAAAGATAAAGTTGTGGAGTTCTTTGGAATAAATGGAGATGATTTGCTAGTAAAGAGTTCGGATTGGACTCCTTGGTTTGGTAGGTTCATTTCCTTTGGTTTCTTTGTCTAGTGTTCTCTTGTTGACTGATTCTATTGAGTATGCAATGCAGCGATTCCTTATTTGAAGAATCCAAGCATGGATCCTCAGTTTCGTGTTTATTTCTCCAAGGAATGGTATGAAGCTCTCCGTCTTTCTGTGAGGAACTTTTTCAGCGAGATCTTCAATGGTACTCATATCCTTTAGAATTGACGCATTCCGTCTGGAGATGCTTTACATAAATTATGTATGTAATTATGTGCAGCTTAGCAGATAGCCAATTAGAATTAGTTACTACAGAACTTTTCTGAAATAAAGTAGGTCTTCAAAGCTTTTGCCTCTAAAGATATCCATTCTGGTGATGTTATTGTAACTAGTAGAAGTATGAGCATAGCATTGGATATAATAATTTTTCCTTGACATAAGAGTGATTCAATTAATGATGGGATTTTAAAGAATGTCCTTAACCAAAGCACGCCTTCCTGCCCTACTGAAGATCTGTTCAGAAAAGAATACTATTAGCAGTCTTAAAAAAGACAACAAGCTTCTTAATCAAAAGGTATTACAACTTCAGGCTTTACTGGAGGAAAAGGAGGTACAACTAGGTCTATCTAAAAGGTAAAGGATCTTCTGATTTTGCTAGATCACGGTAGTACTTGCTGCATCTTATAAATAAAGATGATTCTATCTAAACACATTATGATGCCAATATTGTTGCATGAACATTTAATAGGAGCATGGGAGCAGCTAATAGTTCTAGTGGCATTGATGGTGAAAACTTGCACCTCCCTACAAGTAGTGAGGACATATTTGCTCATGCAACCTCACATTTGGGTAGAATAGCACAGGGTGAGCAACATGCTGGTACTGAATCCGCCAAATTTGTATCAGCCTATGTTGAGTCCTCGTCTTGGCAAGATTCATATTCTGCTTCGAGTCTTCATGCCTTATCCAGTGGAATCGATGATACTGCTCAAAAGTTCTATGGTAGCCATTTTAATGGTAAGTGATAGCTCTGCATACCTTTCCCATCATAGATTTTAGGCTAACGTGGCAGCACCATGACTGCATTAGAAAGATTAAGAAAGTATGATGTCAACAAGTATGGTTTCAGTAAGTAGCTTTGAGATGAAAATATAGAGAAGAACCATTTATTCATCCATTTTGTTTTCAATGTGTGTGCAATTTTGGATGCAATGAATTAGGTTCGTTTAAATTCTCCCTTTCCCTCTGCTTTAATGGATCATGTGATTTGACAGATAATGACAGGGAAATGCACAGAGAAGAAGAATTTCCTGAAGTGAGTGTAGAGTTTCAGGCAGGTTCTCTGACAAGATATATTCAAACATCATACCTATATGCACTTTGATTTGATTTCTTGTTCATTTGATTGTATATGTGAAACTGCTGGAACAACCTTATTTCCAGGAGACATTTTTGGGCCACACAAGTTCAATTACTCGTTGTCGATTTTCTGCTTCTGGAAACAATATAGCTAGTGCATCTGTGGATGGCACTGTCAGGTATGCTCTTTAAAAGGAACTAATACAAACTTATAAAGTAGAGCATTTTGCTTCCTGCAACTGCTTGCTGGTTTTTAAATTTGTCTGTCACCAAATAGTTGATGAGCATCTAATATAAAGAACAGAAAATGGAAGGAAATGTCATCATCCTTACAATCTGACATTTGACCAAATATTGTTTAGATGGGCTACTGCTGCGTGCAGACCATGCTTTTTAACAAACGTAACTGTCGGATACCTTGGTTAAATGTACATGAGAAGACTATAAGGTGTTATTTGTACTGATTATTGTGCTCTGATAAGTTATTGTCTACTGACTTGTGATTTACTTCCTTGTCTCTTTGTTTTTTTATGAAGGATATGGACATATGACTCATCAATTCCGGCATCTAGAAATGCAACAATATATTGTGGAGCTGAGATAATGTCACTTGACTGGGAATGCAAATCTGATCGGCTGGTATGCTACTACTTTATTGTTTGATGTGTAGTTTTATTGGGTATAACGTTATAACTGTTGCATCTTAAAATTTGTAATTGTAAGTTCTGTTTTTCATAAAGCTTCTCATAGGCACTGCTGAGGGAGGCATTAAAGCGTGGAATGTTGATGCGAAGAGAGTTGTCTGTGATCTGAATACAACTGATGCGTTTCCAAGGTACTTGGAATACCATGTTTAGTGGTTTGTTAGTTTGTCTATGCTTCATCTTTCTTCTTTTTTTCATCTTGCAGTGTCTTGGATTTAAAATGCAGCCCCGTGGAACCAATATTTGTTTCTGCCACATCATCACAAAGGTATGGATCCAGCTCTACAGAGCCTCTTGTTTTTCACAAGTGTGCATTAGTATGCTCATTTTGCTCGTCTCTTACGCAGTGATTCAGACAACTTTTTTTTTTTGGCAAGCAGTTATGCTGGGTTGCTAGAGTTTATCATTTCGTGTTATTATGGTTGATAGTAACTATTCAGAATCCACTAGAAAATTGATTGCTCGTTATCATAGTAACCTTTTTGCTCTCCCATTTTTCCTAAAAATGTATTTGGGTGCTTGAGATTAGTTGGATGTTTAATTCTTTCAGGCTTGGTTCAAAGTCTATCGACTCTCTGGGGTATGCTTCTTTGACCGTGTGGAACATGAAAACATGGAAAGTTATGGTATGTGTAGAGAATGCTTATTAGTGACAATTGGCTTGTTTAAAAACCATTTATCCCTCAATAGACTTCATTTCAATGAAGACAGTCCTTCCTCTTGGTGAAGATCCGCCTGCAATTACTTCCCTATGCTTCAATCACAACGGAAAGATTTTAGCCGCCTCTGCCACCGATGGAATGATTCATATGTTTGGTATCCTTTTCTTTATTCCCGGTCTCTTACCTACTACAAGATTACAGTATCTTTCTTAGAAAACTTAAGTTGTGCCAAACCTAGAATGTAATATGAATTCTCCTTGACGCGTCAAAGACATGTCGGCTGGTTTACAAATCACGGGGTGGCCTGCACATGACTCTGCAATAAGCTCACTTCTTTTTGGGCCTGATGAGACTAGCATTTTTAGCTTGGGCTCTGATGGAAAGGCAAGTTTTTTAGTCCACTAAGCATCAAAATTCAAATGCATGTTATCTTTAGACTATGTTCAATCTTATGGTTTGATGATTATGCTAGTAGACTCACATATTGATTTTCCAATGTCAGATATTTGAATGGAGCCTGCAAAACCAAGGTCGTGTCCTATGGTCAAAAACTTCTAGCCTGTAATTTTCATTTCTTGATGGTTGCATCTTCATTCTGTTCCGTTAATGGGACCAGATTTAGTAACATGGATATTACACTTTGTAGCTTTTCCGACTCCAAGAGATCAAAATACTGTAGAGATGAAATGTCACTGGATGCCAACGGGAGGCAGCTATTAGTAACATCCGGTTCTGTAAGGGCACCCATATATCAGGTGAATTCTTCATACGTGTAGCCACGCATAGTTATCGGTTGCTTTTTATGACAATCACTGGCCAGTATCAAAACTAATTGTTTCGGCCATTATATGTTCTTTTTGTTTGCATTTTTTCATCATGGATCAGGTACAAGGCCATTCAAGCGGATTCAGAACTCTTCCCCACACTTCAGCTATAACGACAGTGGATTGGCACCCAACCTTGCCGATTTTCTTGACCGGATCAGCAGACAATTCGGTTCGAGTAACTTCTATACCGTGAAGACAACAAAACATCTATTCTACATCTGCTTCCCCATTTTGGTTAAATGAAGACCAATTATAGGCATAGTAGTTTGAAAAATAGTATTTTTTTTTCTTTTCATTTTTGCATGCATGTTTGAGCATGCCATTCGTTTGCCAGTGTTTGGGAGAGGTAATCTCGTGAGTGATGATGTAATTCATTGAATGTGTTTGTACCTTAAATCTATTTTTGTCATTTACTTGTAAACTGTTCTGTCTCTTCACTAACACCGGTAGTTAATAACACCGGTATATTTTTTTCGATCCAATGGGTCTCAAAGCAAACAGAAAAGAAAACCCAGAATAAATAAAGACAATACAGGCTAAACCAAAAGTGTCCAATCAATCATATGACGTGAAGGAACCTGTGAAAACCTAACCTTAATCCTCTTCTTTCTCTGCGATTGTTTGAAATACTAAGAACTTGCATGATTGTGAAGATCAATGAGTCAAATGGATTCTCCATCAATCTTCAAGCCTCTACACTTTGCGGACCCGAATATTGTCAGTAGACTGGAATCGCCAGGTGGGCTGTTTGCCACTATGAACAAGTGCCACATCTTCTCCCTTCTTTACCATTCCATGCTTCTGCACATGAATCATATTAGTTCTAGCACAGTATGTAAGAATCGATCCATTTTTCTGAGAGGAAATGGGGGAAGGAGGTAACAAACAGCTCCAAGATGCAGGTCAAGTATCCCACCCAGGGTACAAGTCCATAACTATATATCTGACACAATGACACCCTTTATGCAAGCAATTCAAAACTGGCTATCATGAAAGAACCTTTTGATACGGAAAGCAAGAAAAGTATTAACTAACAACTGAGCAGAAATTTCTGTTTAAACGGATCAAAATTGGTTTTAAGATTTTAACCTAAAACCCAGCAAGCATCAATGCACCTCATCATCTAGATAATACGTTTGAAATATTTACAAACTTTGATAAATTCTACTGGATACCTCAAAACAACCACTTGATACCAGGTTCCAAAATAAACGTGAACCGACTGATGCATGAACAAGTACATCAAAAGGGTCGGTAGACTGGATTAAGAAAGAAGATCTAGTTCCTGATGTTTATGCGTTTTTGATCAAAGATATTGTTCATAGGCTTAATGTTTTAGAAGGTGTTGTAAGATGGGTTAATAGGTCAGCCAATCTAGAGGCTGATGCCTTAGCTAAAGAAGGAATTGGCTGATTCTATTCTAGTCTTATATTTCGGGTGTTTTATGGTTGTTTCAAGTTTATTTGGTTGGTGGGGTGTACGATGGTTGTATCTTATATAATTTTATGGTTCAATAAAATCCTAAGGCGCTCTTTTCCTCCTTCCACTGATTAAGGAGTTCATATAAACTCCATTAATCAAGAAGGGGGTTTTTAACGAGGCCTGAAACTCTTATAAAAAAAAAAACTATATTACCAGAGCTAAAACTTTACCTATAGCAGAGCTAAAGCATCCTTAAATGTTTCCTCGGCATCATCTGAGAACTCCATGTATATGGGGCATACCCCTCGGTACAAAGCCAATCTTTGTTGTATCCTTTTCCTGCATGACCATTAAAGTAATTGTCGGTCTAACATTCAAGCCTCGCAACGTCCAGTACAGGTAGTCTAGTAGATACTCATTTTTGGCCATACACTACTAGCCAACTATTGCACTTGTGAAAATAATATGATCAGAATTATTAAAGACGAGGCTGGGCAGAGCTATGACTCTTTTGAGGGAGTGGCCGCTGTGTTAGTGGATTATTTCACTAATCTCATAGGCACTCCTGACCCATTAGTTAAAGGTTGTTCTGTTGATAACTTGAAAAATCTGCTGAACTTTTCTCTCCCTGTGGATGCTGCTACTTGCCTTATTAGGGAGGTGAGTGATGATGAGATCAAAGAGGCCCTGTTTAGGCAAGGGAAAGACAAGAGTCCAGGCCCTGATGGGTTCACCTCTGGCTTCTTCAAAGCTGCTTGGGACATTGTAGGCAGTGATTTCATTGCTGCTGTAAGGTATTTCTTCCAAACATCTTATTTGCTGCCTGCTTTTAATGCTACTGTCTTAGTTCTGGTCCCTAAATCCTTAAATACATGTTTGGCCAAGGAATTTAGACCTATTTCGTGCTGTTCAGTGGTCTACAAAACTATCACTAGAGTTCTTGTTAATAGGCTCACTCCTTATTTCCTTGGCATGATTTCTCATAACCAGTCAGCCTTTGTCAAAGGAAGGAACATTGTTGATAATACCCTTTTAGCTCAAGAGATTGTGAAAGGCTACTCTAGGAGGAGTCTTTCTCCTAGATGTGCAATCAAGATTGATTTGCAGAAGGCTTTCGACTCTGTTAATTGGTCTTTCTTGCTTTCTGTTCTTGAGGCCATGGGGCTACCCTCTGTGTTTTGTAATTGGATCAAAGTCTGTATTACTACCCCTATGTTCTCGGTTTGTTTAAATGGTAGCTTGGTGGGTTTTTTTTTAAGGGAGCAAGGGGAATTAGACAAGGGGACCCTTTATCCCCTTATCTTTTTGTTATTGTGATGAACATTCTTTCCTCGCTCTTGAACGCTGCCGCCAAACAAAGAATCTTCAGATTCCATCCAAAATGTAAGAGACTCTCACTTTGCGGACCTGAATATTGTCAGTAGACTGGAATCGCCAGGTGGGCTGTTTGCCACTATGAACAAGTGCCACATCTTCTCCCTTCTTTACCATTCCATGCTTCTGCACATGAATCATATTAGTTCTAGCACAGTATGTAAGAATCGATCCATTTTTCTGAGAGGAAATGGGGGAAGGAGGTAACAAACAGCTCCAAGATGCAGGTCAAGTATCCCACCCAGGGTACAAGTCCATAACTATATATCTGACACAATGACACCCTTTATGCAAGCAATTCAAAACTGGCTATCATGAAAGAACCTTTTGATACGGAAAGCAAGAAAAGTATTAACTAACAACTGAGCAGAAATTTCTGTTTAAACGGATCAAAATTGGTTTTAAGATTTTAACCTAAAACCCAGAAAACTGGCTAACCAATTTTCCTGAATGAATGAGTTTTTCTAGGCAAAGATAGAACAAAAGGTATTAAATAGCCAGAAAACTATTTATATCTTTCTACGCATAAATAACTTAAAATTAGCTGCATTAAATATTCAGCAAAAAGATTTAAGTGATCACCCCATCAGAAGCTGTTATAATTGAATGCAAATTCGGAATGGAGTCTGCACTTTCAATTTTAACAATAACATGAATGTCTGCATCACAACCTGCCAAAAGCGAAAGAAAAAAATCATTAATGGAGATTTAAAGCATATACCAAGTCTACAGTTATTATTTCATGAAAAAACTCAATATTACTTACTCCGCAGATCATTCTTCAAGTCATGAACAACTTGAGCATCTTTAACAAATGAAACAACATAAAAGTCAACTTTATTGTCTACTGCAAATTTTATGTCATCCCAGTCCTTTTTCTGCAGTAAATCAAAGGAAGTACTTAATCCATTGCGCCTTACAATCCCTCAACCGTGTAAAGGGGGAGTGAGAGAAAGGAAAGGAGGAAAGTGAAAAATCTACAAAACAAGGTAAATTTTTCATCAATTAAAATTCAAGTACCAACCAGTAATTGAAGGCAATGTAGCACTTTTTCCTCGGAGATTTAAATGCCGCCTAGACTTGAGCTTACCACCATCAACTATTTCACACTTCACTGAATCTTCTGTCTTAGACTTCACCACTAATGACATCATACCACCTACATCACAAATCAAAAGTCAGAGGAGCATATAATCAACAAAACGAAAAAGTGTTTCTTGAGATTTTTCTAGTGTTCTGTTTTCATAATAGAAGAATGATCCAGAACACCAAATTCGTGTTTGATAATGAAAGGATACACATCATCCTAGAAATAAAATACAGAGATAATTGTATACTAATATGTATTTTATTCAATCAAAAATCTTAATTAAATAGAACAAAGAAATTTCATCTATAACTATAAACATTTTATTTACAACTTGAGAAAGACCCAAGAAATTATGAATTGCATTCGCATATAAAACATTAAGGGGGGGGGGAATTTTAATAAGCATACTTTAACATGCATTTGAAAGTCTCATGGTAGCATACCATCAACAAGAAGCATGTCACCAACTTCTACATCATTAACAAAATCGTCATAGTTGACACTGACACAATCAGGTGTCTCACCCCCTCTCCGAATTGTAAAAGTGAAAACCTATCCAGTTTCTAATGTAATTGGTTGGGGCAAGTCGCCACTCCTAACCTCGGGACCCTGATAAACAGAACCAAATAATCATAAGAACACAATAAATTATAAAAAATGAAAAGGATAAGAACACAATAAATTATAAAAAATGAAAAGGATTAGAACTATCAGAGAAATGTACATGATATCGGTTGTTTATTGTGCCAACATCACTATGTCTAACTAATTATAATGTCTTTACACAGTAAATTACCAAACTCAATTACTCAAGCAACCAGAACATGGCTTCATAGAGTAGAACATAATGAAATTGAGAGAAACTTGCCTTGGTGTCAAGCATGATTGCAATAGTGTTGTCTTTGGATTGTGCATTATATTCCTTAACTAAATCAATAACTTTCTGATGAGACGCATGGTCTCCATGAGACATATTCAAACAAGTAACATTCATTCCAGTCTCAGCCAATTTCCAAATCATTTCTCGCGTGTTTGTTGAAGGACAATAGTGCAAACTATCTTTGTTTTACGTCTAACAATAGGTTTGGACCACATAGCCACTGATGTGTCACCAAGTTGTTGAATCCCCCTTAATTGCTCATATTGCACCTCTCTCTGAAGAAAAAGAGGGAAAAAGTTACAGAAGCTAACAACATATAAGCAATGGTTTCCCAGGATAAGTCCTTTGATTATATATATATAATGACAACTAAAATCATATTTATTATGTCATGCAACTGCAGTGCCTTCAATCTATAATAGAGTGCATATACCAAAAGCTTAAATTTTCTGTGAGATAAGACATATAAATCAGACTTCCTAAATCTAACCACAAAAATTAAATTGTTATAAACTTCAATGCTCCATTTATTGTTACTGTAAGAGGGAAAACAGGTGGAATCATGCCATTATCGTTGATATGTTATGCTAGATGTGGCAACATTAGACACAACACGGAAATAATTACATGAACACAACATAAATACACCAATATCTCAATATCTATATGATACACATTATTACGGTATCAAAATTTATGCCAACATAAAATACTTTAACAAGATCAAAACATGGCGAAGTACACGAATACTACACAGATACATGAATTACTTTAACAAGATCACAACATGGCGAAGTACACGAATACTACACAGATACATGAATTACTTTTATGTCATTCATTTTTTAGATAGTATCGTCGGCAAATAACCCCATAGAAAATCAAACACTGGCTTCAAACAAATAACAATATCTCAGCAGAAAACTTGGACGTGAGTCCGAATATTTTCCTTATGGTTTGGTGTCAGATTGTCAATGAAATCATGACTATAGTGCAGATACATTATACAACTCCATAGTACCCCATAGTACAAGGTTGATGCTCCTTATATACTACTGCTCTTAGCTGCTAATACAACCACCTTAACTGACCAACTAACCAAAACTAACTTGCTAACAACCTTAGCAGTTATAACAGCTTCAACTTCAGGAAGCTTCTAACTATACTGCTAATGTACACACTACAACCACTACATCTATATAATTTAGCCTAATGCTTTATCGGTTACCAATTTCATCCAAAAACATACTAAGATTTAGAAAAGATCGACACATATTCTTTTTTTTTTCCTTTTCGCATGCTTTTTAACCAACCAAACACATAAGCAAAACGATCAAAAAAAAGTTCCTAGTTGCACAAACCTTCGGTACATCCTCCGGCGATACGGGAATAACTTCATGCTCAAAGCGTACGGCTCTCTTAGCAGTAATCCGATAGTTCCTCCTAATCACGACTCCCTTGTTCCTCTTCTCGTCACGTGGCAGCACTTTCGAAGCGAAGCTCGCCGGCTTAAGCTTGGCCGCTCGCTCGTGAACGGATCCAGAGCCTTGGTTCAAGAATGAGCCGTGAATCGATCTGGTGGCCACCTCTTCCGCCATTTACTGAAATGCAAGATAGATACAGAGAAAGAGAGGAAAATGAAAACGTCTAATGGAAGAGGAGCTGATGAAATGGTGATGGAGTTTCTTTGTTGTTGATCTTCTAAAGAAATTAGTTTGTATCGACAATAACACGGACTTTTGGATTAATTACATCAAAGCATCCTGTACTTCGATAATTTTACTAATGTGCATCTCTACTTTTAAAAAATCGAAATCGAAATGGATTGTGTTAAACTGTTAATATGTATGATTTCTCAGTTCACGAATCATTGTTATTGAAAAAAATGTTATCGTAAATGCAATGAGATCTATATTGAATCAGTTTTGGATGGTGGAGATTTATCATGTATGTGGGCTTAATAATGTCGTAAATTCATTAACGGCTCTAAATCAAAATAAGACAATAGAAAATAGGGATGGTCATGAGTCGGGTTTCGGACAACCCAATTCGAAAATTTTACATCTTTCACCCGATTTGAAAAATATATATCCTTCATCCGACTCGTACCCGACCCAATTTTTGTGATAAAATCCGAATCTGATCCGATCCGACCCAAAATAATAATAAAATATTATTTTATTCAATAAAAATATTGATTTAATTGAATATATATATATATATATATATATATATATATATATATATATAATAGTATTATTGTAATCATCCCTAAACCCTAAACCCTAATCTAACCCGACCCGAACATCACTTTTAAAAAAATTCGACCCGAACCTGATTTTTTTTAATCCCGCCCTAATCGGATTGGGTCGGATCAAAACTCGTTAGATTCGGTCCCATGACCATCCCTAGAGCTGGGTATATGGGCTAAGGCCCGCGGGCTACCCGTTTAACCTGCGATCCGTGCGGGCTAAGGGCCTCAAAAATTGAAGATCGTTTAAATTGTGGGTTTTTTAGCCCGGACCGTTAAACCCGGGGGTTTAATGGGTATAACCGCGAGCTACCCGTTAAACCCTCTAAAACCCGCTTAATTTAAAATTTATAAATTTTAGAGAAAATAAACTTAAAGAATTTTATAGAAAAAGAAAACAAATTACCTATAAATATGATGTTACTTATAACTATTGTAGTTCTTAAATTTATTAGGGCGTTTGTCATAATTTTACTGTTGCTTGATATTTTTTTCATTTAAATATACATCTTTATCATTTTGGTATTTAAAGATTTTTTATTTAATTTTGACCTTTATTTTTTTTTCATGAAGTATGTTATCCATTTTATTTTTTAATTATAAAAAGTCACGTGATATTCTAATAATATATCACATGACACGTAATATTTGGATTAAAAATAAGAAAGAAAAGTAAAAGAAAAAATTAAAAACATACTTTTCAACTTTTAAAGATTTTTACAAAATAAATATATTTTAACAAATTAATGACTTATATTTTATCAATTTTAGTATAATTGTATCTTTCAAATTTACTATTATACTATAAGTATTTTATTTTATATTTTCATATTATGTTTTAGTATTTCTCTAAAGTATCCATAAAATACAATTATTAGGAACAATTGACAACTTTCTTGTTAGATTTGTATAATGTTTGACTTTGTTGAATTTTTATATTTGAATTTCTGCTTTCAGACACTTCTGTGTCTTCATATTATAGCCTTGAATAATCGTGTTTTATAAAAGTATAATGTGGTTATTGTTTTATTTGTTTTTCAATTTGGTGATATAAGTGAATATTGTTTTTTTAATTTGAGTTTAAGTAATTATATTATTATATATATATATATATATTAATGATTAAAAATTTTAAAAAATATTATTTTATAATATTTTTGACTATTTAAAATAAAATTTAAATATTATTTATTATTTTGACGGTGCTACCTTCTTTTTCAAGTTGCTCGATCATTTTTAAAGGTATAGTAAGTTAAAACATTAATTTTTATTGCATTTAAAGCATTTAAAATTATTTTTATTAAACGGGCCGCGGGTAAACCCGTTTAGCCCGCGAGTTAAATGGACGGACTGCGGGCCTTAAAATTTAAAACCGTTTATGAATGCGAACTTTTTAACTCGCTCCATTTAAACCTGCACCGTCAAAACCCACGGACTAAACAGACCGGTAACTCGTATACCCACCTCTACCCATCCCTAGTAGAAAATATATATTGACTCGTTCCTTAAGATTTATCATGTATAATTTTTATTATCGTTTAATAGTTTCACCAGTCGCATTAAACTATTACCGTCTTTTTCTAATTTAAATTCATCAACAAATCTCTTAAACCTCAATCGAAACTATCAATTAAAACTTTCTTATATACCATTGTTAATAATTGAATCATTTTGAAAATAAAACACAACTTTCTTACTGTTAAATTTGGCTTCGACTTATTAAAAAATTATTTCATTTTATTCTTTATTTATAGAAGAGAACTAGCCGTCCCTCCTTTCTTTTCTTTCAACCTATTTTTCTCTGTCTTTATCTTTGACTACGGAACCAATCTTATTATTAGCTGCTATGTCGGTGAATATTAATTCTTTTATTTTTTATATTATGTATTTTATTTTTTTTTGTTTGATTTTTTTTAATTTTAAATAATATTATATTATTGTGACATAATTTTTTTTGCTTTTATAATACACGCTTTTTTTGTTCTGGTAATATGATTCTTATGTTTGTTAGTACTTTTTAGTATACTTTTGTGATTGTTTTGGTTCTCCCACAAAAATCATGACATTTATTTTTCGATTAATTAGTTAATAATCACGTATAGTTAAATCTCTTCTTTTGGTAAAAGGTTGTTAGCCGATATAATTAGATTGTGTAGCGAAACAGCCTGTCAATAGATTATTTATTCGCTCCCTACTCTTTTATCACTTAGTCTAACGCTTTATTCGACAGACACAAGATTTTTTATGAATGTTATTGGGTCTAGTGTTGGTCATCATTTTTATTAGAAAATTCTCATTTTTCTCGTATATTTAATTTTTATTTTTATATGAATATTTTGACAACTATTACATTTAAATTTCTCTTTATATTTTGATACGTTGTAATTTTAATTTCTATTATTATTAATAAAATCCAATCATCGATAAATAGGATCCATGGATATTTTATTATCGAAATGACATCGAAAACAAAGAAGATAATGAAACGATAATAGCTGGCGATAAGGATATCTCTCGATTTATTTAATAATATTAGCGAGCCGAGTCAAGTCTTGCCTCACACACTAGCTAAAATGGAGGCACTGTAACTATCATCAAAGAACTTATTCCAGAGCATAACGCCACCATACTTTGATGATCTCTTGATAACCGGAAGGATTTGAGAAGTCAACACATTAGGCGGAACATACCCGCTTCCGGCCGCCGCCGGTGCCGCTGGCAACCCTAAAAATATATTCCCCGCATTTATCGATGAAGTCCACCGGTTCCACGAGTTCACAAGGTTGTTAACGTTGCCCGACGTGTACTGGCATGCCGCAGCCGGATTGTTATAGAACTGAATCCAGACGTAGTCAAAGAGGCCTGTATTAAGAGCGGACCCCAATAATCTATCTGGAAACGGACACTGAGGAGCTGCTGTTAAGTACACCTTTCTTCCCCGGCGGCTGAAAGCCGATAGAGATCGGGCAAGGTCATCATAGTGTAGACTCGACCCGAGCTCGATATCGAAATCGATGCCGTCCAGTACGGCGTCGCCGAATGGACGGGAAGGCGAGTTGCCACCCAGAAAGTTGTTCCATAGGTAATTAGCTAAGTTTTGGGCATCTGCTTGAGAAGTAAGTGAGTAGCTGCCAGCACCGCCTCCAAGGGAGAGCATGACCCTGATTCCTCGACTTTGGCAGCTCTTTATGCCGCTTCCGACGAGGGAGGCACAACCGTTGGATGCTGGATTGCAGTGGCCGGCCAAGTTGAGTCCGGGGGTTCCACCATTGCCGAATTGGTTGAGGAAAGCTATGTTAACGTAGGTGTATCTGCCGGTGGCACAGGTTGCTGCCAAGGTGCCCTCGTTTCCGTTTTGGCCCCAGTAGATGGCGATGCCGGCGGCGTGGGAGGCTCCGATCAGTGCAGAAACTAAAGTAAGAAAGAAGAGTGGTGAAACTAAATTACTTGTCATTTTTGCTGAAGATGCGTGCTTCTAATGTGCTAGTGAAGTTCGGCTTTATAGAGACTTGGAATGCAGTTCCATCCAATAGAATCAAAGTCTTCTCAAGCCATTTTCCAAAAGAACAAAAAAAATCTTCTCAACACGTTATTTGTGGGAAAGTATAAATCCATTTCCTTTTAATTTCTTGAACAGAGTCCACCTACTTTTTTTAAGTAGATACAAGTAGGGATATCCATATATCGGGTCGGGTTTTGGCCCACTAAAATTTGACAAAAAAAATTAAAACCCTCCATCATTACTCGACCCGATCCAAAGTTTAAGAGGGTTTCATCCTACTCGAAACTCAACCCAATTTTTAAGCTAAAAATCGAATCCAACCTAATATATATAATTCATTTTTATTATGCACGAACCAAGCGACTTTAGTGATAAATGAATTGTTGTTATTGTTTGAGGTCTCGGGTTCGAGCACCAGAAATGTCAGGGGTGTGAGCATTCAATGTCAAACGGTTGAGATTTATCTTTAAACAGATATTATCTCATACTTATCCAAAATTAATCCAAAAAAATAATTCATTTTTATTATGAATAATTGATCGCTTCAATTATTTGGGTTTGTTCAAAATTATGAGTTAGAATTAAAACGTAATAAATATGAAACCAGATCTAAGATATACTCATTTCAAATCATCAAGAATAAAATATTATATTGTGAAATTGTATATGAATTCATTGTTGAAAATCACCTAGAAGGTATTTGTGCTCTTTCAAGAAGATATGTTTCTTTTGAGTAAACTATTTGACGTGATAAAAGAAAATATAAATTTAAATATTTCTTGTGGACCACATTATCTCTTTATGTAACTGATTATTACTTCGGTTATTATATGATTTATGACTCTGCCCTTTATCAATTTAAAACTACAAATCTACAACTTGATGGTATTTACAATTTTTCTCATGATACTTCTAATATCTTCTGGCATGTAACATAATTGATCACTTAATTTTATATTATATTTTGTTGATAACTGTCGCAACCGTCTTTCGGTTGGGCCCCGTAATTGGGCTTCGACTTGAAAAATGTGGATTGGAGTCGCCACCGATCATTTATTTAAAAATAAATGGGTTGATCGGATACCCTATTTCTTACCTGATCTGCGTCTTACCAGAAATATGTCGGGTTCGGGAGTCGGTTACGGTCAAGGAAGGATTAGCACCCTTGAACCGCCCTTTCGGTACTACGTAATTTCCAGTTGTCTTAATTAAGAAAAATAACAAGTTAAATTAAAAGGTAAAGTTTCGATCCTAATTACTTACCCTTGATTGATTTGAAAATATCCTTTAAAAAAATTGAGAAATGTGTTATATAAACAAGGTAAAGAAAACAAATAAGATACAAGGGAAAAATAAAATAAATAAAATAAGTAAATAAGATAAGAAAAAATAGTAAAGTAATAATTATATATAGTAATATTTGAAAAAAGGAAAATATATATATATATATATATATATATATATATATATATATATATATATATATATATATATATATATATATATATATATATATATATATATATATATATATATCAAAGTATTAATAAAATAAATAAGCTATATATGTACACCAAATACTTAAAAATAGAAAAGTTACCCTCCCAATTTATCGAAAATGGGGGGCTCTAGTAAGAAATAAGACAAAAAAATGGGCCCTCTAGGTTAGTAGTATATAATATAATGTTTAATAATGATAATGATAAAGACACAAGGTTTTTTAAAAAAAATAATAATATAATAATAATGAATAAAAAAAACGAAAATAATAAAAAATAATATAAATATATAAAGTTATAAGATATATTACATAAATAAAGAAATAATCAAATAAAAATAATTAAGAATATATATTTAATAATATGTATATAATAAACTATTAAAAGTATAAAAAATATATACGACTAGATAAAGATAATTTAATATATATATAGTAATATTAGACTTATAAGTAAAATATTAAAGAAATATATATATAATAATAATAATAATAAAATATAGTAAAAATCAAATGAAAATAATTTAATATATATATATACATATAATAATAATAACATGAATAATAAAAATAAATGAATAAAATATCCATATAATAAATAAAGGGACTAATATAGATTTTTAAAAAGCTCTTTCCCTCCTTTAACCGAAAATCAAACCGGTTTTAAAAATAAGCCTCGGGGTAGATCTAGGTTCGAAACTTCGAAACCCTACCCATTTTGGTCATCGGCGCAACCCACGTTTTGGGTTATTCGAACCAAATCTCAAGAAAAATAACGTGCACATGCAAAAGAAAGAAAAAAGAAAATGCTACATTTTATTTCCTTTTCGAATCCTTTACAATAACTTTGCCTTTGTATCTTCCCGTGCTTTCCTCTATGTTTTGTGTATATCGTATCTTACAATAGTGAGTTACAATGGCTATTTATAGTGCTTGTGGATCCTATCTTTAGGAGTTTAAATCATAGTAGAACTCTATCCTATTTTTTGAATCCTAGCAAAATTCTATCATATCTTTAGGAGTTTGAATTCTAGTAGGACGAAAAGGTGTGTTGACAATAACATTATACATATATGACAATAATTATAGATTTTAATTCCACTACGAATCATAATTAAATACATTTTTTTTTCAAAAAAAACAACTAAAATCAAACTTTTTAGTACGAGTTTCAATTCTATCTTTATGGGTTCGATTTTTCAAAGTAATTGCACAATCATATTTCACTATTTTAACCATGTGATTATGTGACATACACATTGATATTTTTAACTTTTTATACAATTCGACAAATATTATATACTTGTCTCTAATTTTAAACTGTTCTTTAAATGTACAAAAAAGTCATTTTATTCTATAAAAAGACTTATAAGTGCATATCCACGTTATCTCATATTTTAAAAAATAAAACATATTAAATTAATCGATTAAACTAAATAATAGAAGTTAATCTTACTATTGAAAATATATATTTTAAAAAATAAATTAACAATGCAAATAATCAATTAATCAATTATGTTTTAAAAACAATTTGAGCAGTTCGAACTCGATTAGGTCAAAGTTCGGTAAAAATTTAACTTGGGTTGACTTGACTCAATCTCGAGCTTGACTCAAGACATTAACGATTTAGCAAAAAGTCCAACTCGATTCGATAAGTTCGCGTGCAACTCGTTAATTTTTTTTATATAATTTTAGTAGTTATCGTAAAAAATTATTTCATTCAAAAAAATTATTAATTTACTAATAGATAATGAAAAAGATGATAAATTGTTAATCTATTAATTTCTAATAAACAACAAAAAATATTAAAGTATAATTAATACTTTACTATATCCAAAAATCAAACCTTATTTATGATTTCAATGTATTAGTGAATTCTTACTTTAGATTTTAGACTTTGAAATTGTTTCATAAAGTATTTTAATATTTTTTTGGTTAAATTTATTCATTTATGTCTATATTATGCTATATATAATATTAGCACATTTTACTTATAGTAAAAAAATAAGATTAAAAATTTGATAAATTTAACGAGCAACTAGCTTAATGAATAAAATTTTAACGAGTTTAATAAATATCAAGTAAAGTCGATTAGCAAAACTTTTTAATGAGCACAAGTCAAATATTGTCCGACTCCAAATATATATTAGTAGACTAATTGAATTTCCAGAGTTTCCACTTTTCCGGGGGGAGGTGGCGCAGTGGATTGCGGACATGACCATTATCTACATCTAGAAACATAGACTACTAATAGTTGAAAATGTTGAAATTTCAACTTTTAAATAAATTACTATGTATTTTTTACTTTTAAATAATATTAAAATATTAATTTAATGAAATAAGATTGACAACGTGTCATTTTAATTGCAAAATAAAACAGTCTTAATCTTAAACTAAAAATAAAAACAAATAGTATAGAGATGGTAAGGGTCGATTCGCAGGAATATCGTAATTGCCAATGAGTTGCTTCTTGCTTCTATGCTAGGCGTAATCTACAAAGAAAAATAAAAAAGGGGTTTAGCTTGATTGAAAATAAAGAAGATGAAATTAAAAGGAAGTAAAGTTGAACTAAAATTCTAATCATAAAAATCAACCTCCGACTTTTTTTCCCTCAAATTCCGTCAATTATTGAAATAGATTTTTTCACTTCGATTCATGACGGTTACAGTCTATAGGGCACAATCCCTATAACTTATTTTTCTCTCAATTGAATCGACAATGCAAAACAATCTTTGATCGCAAGTCCTTATGTGGACTAATCGCAACAATCATTATTAGCGCCACTTGATTTTAAAACTTTGGAAAAACCTGACTCGGATAGTTTCTCACTAAGAATCGAATCTGATCTCAGTTCCCAATAACAAACCGCCATTAAGTGTGTTCCCAGGAAGTTGAATGTGCTACAAGTCGATCATTCCTTCCAACTGTTAATGGAAACAACTAACAACCCAACTGTAAATAGAAATCATACTTATCATTTAAAAGAACATAAATAAATAACAAAAGAAAGTAAAAGCTTGCAAAAGAAAAAGTAAAACTTTATAAAAGAAATAAAACAATAACAAAGAAAAACTCAGTAAATCTAAGATGTGTTTGAGGCTTATCCTGATATGTATTTATAGTCTTCTTAAAACCCTAAAAATCCTAAGAGATAATTCCTAATAAATGCAAAGATAATTCCTAAAAATCATAAAAGAAAACTCCCCAAAAATTACAATAGATAATTCCCTTAATTGTTTGAAATAAACCCCAAAAATAAAGATAAATCTTAAATTCATGTCTAGATTTGTGATTGAGTATTTTATCTTCACGAAAATGTTAACTGGACCTTCTAGAAGATGTTGACTTGTCACCACGTTAGAAAAGTCATGCCCCAAGTCATGCATCGCATAAGAAATTAGAAGATCGATTGGAAATAATTATAAGTTCAGTGATTCATTAATAAATGAATTGACTTCAAGATCCATAAATTTTGATAA